GGGACAAACGCACTGGCCCTAGGGCAGGGGGCTTGCCCGTGCAGTGGGCAGTTTTGTCTGTGTTGCTCAGAAGCCTTATGCCAGCCCAGTCAATAAAAGATACCTCTTAAAACAAGCTGGTCCAGATTAAACATCAGAGCAATACTGGAAAAGGCCAGAGACTTGATGAGACAAAGCCCTGCCCTCCTTATTGCCCCCAACACATACCAGCAAGGAGGTGATGGTAGATGACCTGCAATCTCTGCAAAGAGCAAGGTGGCACCAAGATCATGGGCCAGGGCTGTGCCACCAAAAACTGCCAGGTCCCAGGCCAAACAGGACCATGAGGACAAAGGCTGTCTGTGAAGACCTGCAGAAGGACCTCAGTGAAACACTGAGCTATGGATGAGGTGTCCCTGTTCACAGTAGCAGCCAGTGTCAGGAGGGAGAAGCACGGCCTTGCACTTGCAGCACACAACCTCACACAGCCCTTGGGTGTGTGGGACAGGGACAAGGGACAGGCCTAACATGACCATCAAAGCCATGTCAAACCAAACCCTGGGGACTTTGGTGTCAAGGACAAACTGGAGGATTTTGGTGATAGATTTGCCAGGGAGAAGGAAGGGACAAACCCATCCTGAACCTCTGGTGGGGGTCTGCTCCTCAGAAGTAGGACAGACAGCGGGAGAAGCTGGAACCAAAGCATCACCCAATACTCTGAGGCTGAGCACTGAAGACCTCGCTGCACTTCTCCGCCCACCTCCACACACCTCCTGTTGCCTTCTCTCTTGGCAATTTCCTGCAGACACGCAATATCACCTCGCGGCTGAGTGGATGTGAAAGGACACATGAAAGTCTCAGAGCAAAGCCCAACGTTTCAGCACAAAACCACATCGCTGGCACTTTTGACCAAGCTATCTTGCAAACAGAGGCAGCCACGGTGTGGACACACGCTCATTGCTCCGTCCCTTTCCGCAAGGGTGGTGAACTGCAGCGAGACAGCATGTGGGGTGCAAACGGCAAATATCTGGGGGCGTGCGGCTGCTTTGTCCAGCACAGCTAGACTGGGCCTTCTGTCAAAATAATGCTTCTTGCCATGGAAATGCTCCTTTGAAGGCATTATGCTCACATCCCCCAGCCTCCCACGGCCCACTCCTAATCTCCCAGCAATGCAAATGGTAAAGTTTTAGTCCTGCAAACACCAGCAACAAGTCTTACCGGTTTCAGAAGGAGGGAATACAAGGCTAGAGCCCTTTCCGGTCTTGAACAGAGAACCCTCACCACCTTCCTTTTGGAAGCCGTGCCTTTATTGTGACAGAAATTACTCCTGTCTAAACTGGAGCTGTAACAACTCACAAGCCCCTTAGTGTCTGGACATCCCCAGTGAAGCCTTCATGCTGCCCTGCATCTCCAGGAGGATGACAAAACAAAGCTATGACTACACCACTTCGTAACTTCCTTTGCCCTGGGACTCTCCAAGTCTCTCAGAGTCCCTCAGTGATCCAGGAAGACGAACAGCCAGGTGACCATAACCCTCTGCATGCATCTATACTTGCATCTGGGCCCTTGCAGTGACCGTCGATAGCGACAGCATTAACTAGAGACCTGCTGCCCTCTGTAGGTATCTCTGTCACATTTCCAGGTTAACTCGCAGCCAGGTGACCCTCAGGCCATCTCAGACTTTCCCTATGCATGTCCCTGTGCAGGGAGTGGAGGTTGCACCCAGCTAGGATGGACATGGTCAGCCGGAAAGGCACAGTAGCCTTTTCCCCATGTTGGAGACAGCAGTGCCCAGGCAGGCTGATCTCCATGGACTTTGCCTTAGGGAAAAGGCATTTATTCAGTGACTAGATGAAGTGACCATCGATGCTCCTCCAAGATGCTTCCAGCAGGCAGTACCATGAGATGGCCACACTCCCCTGCTGAGAAGGCCAGCTCCTCCAGGCATCACGAGTAGGATGTGTACAAGGAAAAATCACCCCAAAGTCAGGAGCCCGGGCAAGGAGCAGATACTTTAAATCCAAGCTGCACTGAACCACTGTAATTATGCAAAAGGAATGGCCCTCCGGAGCTGCCCATTTCTCTGTGGTGATGTGGAGGTAGTTTAGAGTGTCCAGATGAGATTTAGCTAGAGAGAGATAAGGCAGGTAGGTTTTGCCAGCACATCTGACTTAACAGCATCCAGTGCTGCTCCAAGCTCCTATGGCATAGGAGATTTAGGTTCCCAGGAGAGTCTGGGATCTGCAGCAGGGAATTCCCAACCTGAGATTTGCAAATCACAGCCTAGCAAGGATCCAGGCTTGTATGAAAGTGCTCCCAAGGATTGAAGCGTAGTCTGGAAAAAGTGCTCTGCCCAGGGATGCTGAGGAACTTAGTTCCCGGATCTGGCAGCTTTTCCAGGTCTGAATACATCAGAAAGGTCTCTCTGTTTCCAAGTCAAGGAGAAAAAATCAAGCGTCCGGGTAGGGACTGCTTTAGCATCACCTAGGTTTATTTTTACTCACTGGAGGCATTGTGGGAAATTCACATCTGCACTGCTGGGGCACCAGCAGCAGCACCGAGAAACGCCCAGTTTGCTGACAGCGTTTCCTCCCCTAAAATATCGCTCAGTGCTGAGCCCATGTGGGTTTTTGTTGGATGAAGGGGGCACCGAGCAGCAGAGAGACGTGGCTATGGACTCATCACACCTAATTTCTGGTGTTTATTGCAGGCAACTGGGGTTCAAGACTTGTGTCTAAGTGCATTTTGGTGGAAGGAGAGACTTCAGAGAAACTTGACTGCAGCCTTTCATTAGTGTCTTTTGGCAGCTCATTCGAAACCCATTACACAATTAAATTAAAAATAAACATTTACAGAAGAGGAAGAGGGTGACAGTGTGTGGTCTGTTGCTGTGATGATATAGATGTCCAGCCTTGGTAGCAACACCTCTGCTAGTAAACTAATCTGTGCCAGGCCTGGTCTCTGGCCCTGAGGCCAGCTAGCCCTGTCTGGCCACATCCGTGCTATAAAACACTCTCAGCTATCAAAACAGGATGGCTGCATCCAAAACTGTCTGTTGGGAATGTGGTCTTGCCTTGCAAACTCCTGAACCATGCCCAGGGACTGTTTGGCCAGGGTCAAAACCAGGCCAGGGATTGTGTTTCACCAGGTTCCCATGCCTATACCCGTTCACTGACACTTTGGTTCATTGGCATGGACCCAGTCTGTGGTTTGATGAGATGTCGCAGGAAATGCTGAACCATGCACTTACCATTAAGAGCTTAAATGCAGCTATAGGTCTGCATTAGAAGGTTTTAATATGAAGGAACAGCTCTTCCATCTCCTTATTCCATCTTAACCACCACTAGCCCTGGGAAGGGCAGGTGAAAGCCTTCAGACAACTGCCTGCAACACAGCTTTCTGAGAGCTAATCAGCAGAATGAGTTTGCATATGAATATCTGAAATTTCACAGAATCATAGAATCACAGAATGGTTGAGGTTGGAAGGGACCTCTGGAGATCGTCCAGTCCAACCCCCCCTGCTCAGGCAGGGTCCTCTAGAGCATATTTCCCAGGATCACATCCAGACGGGTTTTGAATATCAAAAAATCTCACTGGAAAGACGTTTTTCCTCATGTTCAGACAGAACTTCCTGTGTTGCAGTTTGTGCCTGTTACCTCTTGTCCTGTCACTGGGCACCACGGAGAAGAGTCTGGCCCCATCCTCTCGACACCCTCCCTTCAGATACTTACACACATTGATCAGATCCCCCTGAGCCTTCTCTTCTCCAGGCTGAGCAGGCCCAGCTCTTTCAGCCTCTCCTCATAGAAAAGATGCTCCGGTCCCTTAATCATCTTAGTAGTCCTTTGATGGACTCTTTTTTTTTTCCCCCCCCCCCACAAAAAGGGGGCTGTCCAAGCAGAAAAAAAAAAAAAATTTGCAT